GTCAATCGCCATACAGCCATTGTGTATTCATCAGCGAAAAGTAGGCGAGGTGCACATTTGCACCGCTGTGGCTTCGGCGTTAGAAAAAAAGTGCCATTTTTGCATTGAGTTTTCGCGATAAAAAGCATATTTTCATTTGCTGTCGTCCAATACGTAAGTACTCTTACTCGCTATGATAAAATTTTAATATGATCGATGTACCTAACCTAAAATTTGACTGTACATCAGTTACGCGCCATGTGGCATACTCAGCTGCAATACAAAAATCCAATGATTTTTTCAACATTTTCCAGTTGAAACAACATGTCTGGCCATTAAAATCTGCGCAGTGTTCGCCTTCTTACATCTGCCTTGTTAGAGAATGCAGAACAAGCTTCTGACAACAATAGACCGGATGAATCTGAAGAAGATGCCGTTTCTGTGGATGAGGACGAAGACAGTATTATTTCAAGCCCCTGTTAAAAATAGTTATTTATAATTTATTGAATAAACGATTTTTTTCCACTTCAGTACAGGTTTTTACCTTTATTTTCCCAAAGGGTCCTTGACTTATGTCTTAAAAAAAAATACAAACTTTTTCGTAAAAAACGAATTTAACATTTTTCTTTTTTGAAAAAACGTATTTATCTATGTGACAATGTATTTTTACGCTCTCGCGAATGAAATATTCAAATTCCTAGGGCAATTCTTCCCCATTTTTATACCGTTATTGATCAAAAAAGATTAAGCCAGAGAGAAGGAATTACGATTTAAAAAAGTAAAAACCATATTTGCACACGTGTGGTCTCTACGTCATTGGAAAGAGGTGTGGCCTCTGGGGGTTAATTATCATAAATAATTAGTAGTCATAACTATTACCAAATATTTAGCTGGCACACTATACTTATATGTATTTGTATTTCAGTACTGGCGTAGCTGGCACTGAAATGCGGCGTTATAACATTTTTGCAGGGCTTGTACACCACATGCGCAGTTCAATTCGAAAAGGACAACCTACTACATGGAGTGAGTGAGGCAGTTGCGCGCTCTCCGGGTTACCTTCGGATACAGGCGTATTCATTCCAGTATACTTAGGGTTCAGTAGATACGACTATCTCTATCTCTGTCGAACCGTGCTATTGGCCAAATGTTTTTCGCTCAGTGACATATCTGGAGCAAAAGTTTCAGGGACATGAAATTACGTAAGTGAGTGACCATTTTGTTTAAAAATCAATGATTTCTTATTGACCTATTTTATAACTTTTTTACTTTTTCTACAATAAAGATATAAAATTGAAAAATGTATTTTTTTATTCGTAAGATTTTTTGTCCCGAATATCTGGGAGTGCGGGGCCCTGAGAAATCTTTGTTCAGGGTTGAATAGAGAAAGACACCAGTAAGTCGCAACTGCTATCCGTCTTTTTCTATTTAGCGGACATGTTTCTAGCTTATATGTGCAGTTCATTCTCAATCTCGATGTTCTTGACCATATTCACGACACTGCCGGTTAGGTGTTCCAAAAACGTGCGCAACCGCACCTTCACCACACGTCACCACGGTTGTACCATAACCATTCGAATCGCAATCGTCGTTGAGTTTCAAAATATACCCTAAATTTTAGCCAATTGCATCGACTGATTTCGACTGTTAACAAAATCAGTCGATGTCATTGGATTGAATTAATAACCGTATCGTGGTTCAATTACGGAATATACATTAAATTAGAATCCGGATATAGGTTAACACTTTAACCGGACGGTGGGATTAATCTGATAGAGAATAGCGCGCCCAATACATACGGAGACTCCTCCCAAATTCGGAGTCTAGGCGAACTCACCTTGTATACTTACCGTCTTCTAACTCAACTTGGAGTTTGTACGTGATACATTCCCAATATACAGCTTCAAATGTGAAAGAAATACGTCTCTAGGGTAGATATAAAAACCTTCTGTAAAGTCCCATAAAACGCCTAAACGTGTCCAGTGTGGTTTCCCCAGGATGCCGCAGGATCATGAATATCCGGACATTTGCACCTCCTCAGGATATCCAGAGGAAGGCTCGAGATATTATCAGAACGTCCATAGGACTTCTGGATTATCTATTTAACATATCCATGGGATTTCCTCAAAATGAATATTTAGGAAAACCTTCGATTTTTTTATTTGTAATTTTTGGAAAATTTCATATACAATTCTAATTAATGCAGAAAATCTGAGAAATGTGGAGACTGAAGATGAATTTGGAGGAATTCGTAATAAATGTAGTAGAAAATCTGGAAATATATTTCTATCAGGTACAGTATTACTTCTGATACGATATTGGTTGGCTTTAACAGAAAATGTTCGACAAGACAATATATGTATAATAATGTATAATGTATAATATAATTTATAATGTACAATATATGTATAATAATAACTATACTGCAATTTTAGTATACTACACATTTGATCCAAATTGACACAACACCAAACAGTCTGAGAATTGGTTCGTTCTAGTAGAATATTTTTAAAAGAAGTAAAAGTTTCGTGTTGAGTTGTGGTCGTTCTGTGCCTCTTACCTGGAAAGCTTTCACGGTTCGATAACAGAGTTCTGGGTCTACCCAGTGTTTATTATCGTATATTTAACCAATTGGAAAAGAGAATTGATGGAATATGTGAGAAAGGGACCTATTCCCATTAGCTAAGATCTTTATGGCCCCTTCGCAGTTTTGTCTGAGTAGTCGTAGTTGTCGGAAAAATCTGAAAACCAAATGCATTGTATAAAATTGTTGGATATACAAGTTTCTGCCAAACAGGGGTCTGATTTTTTAGTCGTACGAGCCATAAGAATGACCTCTGGGCCCGTATTCTTGAGTCTGTCCTAATGATTCTCGTATATAACTTTCTATTTGAAAAGCACTGACTAATCCCATGGATACGGGTACGGCATGCTTATACAGTCAGAGTTTCATAGTTGCAATATTTCGGGACTGTAGGGAGCATAATTAATTATTTGCAACGATAAAATGCCCCTTCCATATTTACACGATATTGCTTATTGCTATAATGCTTTCTGTATTCCTAACCATTAATATCATTTGAATTATGTGCACGATGTTAGGGAGAGCACTCTGTGTGCAGTTGTATTCGTGTGGTAGAGAAATTGTAATTATGAAATTTTTATCGTATATCTCCATTTACAGATAGATCAAAATGCTGTGCATACTATGTAGGCCATTTATTTTCAAATTATGCCAGTTATGCATGCAATGCTGGACAATGATTACCAGACTAAAATGTTGTTATTTTGCCGTCATATTAACATTGCGAGTTCTTGCATTTTATTATGCGGTATTATTTATAAATTATAATTTATAATTTATAAATTACAATATACAGCATTCGCTATGCTAGTTTCATATGCTGAAAAAATTTGTAGTGAGTGGGTAAATTTAGAACATACATGTTGTCTAATTCAATTGTTTACTTCATTATGTAGAAGATATACCATTCAATGTGTATTTGGGTTAAACATTGTGTAGATGTGAACCCTACGGCTTAGGGCCCATTCACACTCGTCAAACCCGAGTTTGAACACGAGTAGACAATGGTACAATGCGCCCATGGGAATCCACATTGTGTTATTAACCAAAAGTTGCATTTAACGTGTAACTCTTAATGGTGAACTTTTTCTACTCCTTCTTTATTCTTTTGTGTTTGGATTTATTCCTCAAATGAGATGAACTTATATTTTAATAAAAATATTACATAATACTAGGAAGTGAATTGCTGGTCGTTCATTGTTATGCTTTGTTTATCGCCTCATTATATGATTGGTTAATAGTAGTGCTCGTACAGTATTTTTACCAAATAAACAAGGGTGCAAAGTAGAACCTTGCAAATTGCTTCTTCATTATTTTACTTGGTTTTTTCTATCACAATGATGCAAAGTAGAATCTTACACTTTGCTTCTTGATTCTTTTCCTTCGTTCACAAAGCCTCCACTATGAGGAATTTCTCTTGATTTATTTTCGCGAGTTATGTACAATTGAACTTTGGTACTTACAGGAATAAAAAATTAAAAATGAGGTAAAAAAAACAATAACGATAATTTTTTGAATATTTCAAAACCACGTAAAATCTGAACCGCTATAGCGATCTTGTCGAAATTCAATACCAAACAACATTGAACGTATCTTCAGTTATGAAGAACTATTTAGTTAAATCGTCGAACCTTTAAGAAAGTCAGAGCTACCACGCCCTTTTTTCAAAAAATTTTAAATGACATAAAATCTGAATGGCTGCATATATTTCATTGAAAATCGCAACATATCTACTTTACTTGCGTGCCAAATTTTAGTCCGATCGTTCTAACGGTTATTGAGTAAGAGGAAATTGAATTTTCGAAGCACTGCACACACACATACACACATACACACACACACACACACACGCACACACATTGTACATACATACGGACATTTTTTCTAAACTACTTTTCTTGACGTTTTAGACCATGTTAAGTATTCTAATATGAAAATCTCGAGAAAAAAAATGTTCATGAAAACATAGCTTCCTCTATGAGGAAGCAAAATGCAAAGAATGAATTTCGAAATGAGTTAATAGTATTCAGAGCTTCTTTACAAATCGATGAAATTTATTAAATCATCGAAGCAGCTCTCTTTGGGTCATAGTTCTTTGCAAGTGATGCAAGTCTATAGAAAGAATCCTATGCCGCTGCCTATAGTGCTGCACCACGCGGACGCTGCTTAAAGGATGGACTAGTTAGTGAGCCTAGTGAAAGTCTGGTGCAATATAAATAAAAAGTTGTCCATAAAAATGAATACAGTAAAGGTGTTATTATGAACTTGAGAAACCTTTACTCGAAAATATTTTTGATAAATCTTGATGAGACAGAAGTTATGATTTCATTTTCATTGATATGTTCATGAATACCCCCATATAATCGATGGTTATTCCGAATGGATGATAGGATTCGTTTCAAGTTGAACTACCTGGTCGAAAGCAATGTTGTTAGTAAAGAATCCCATGGCAACGGATCGTATGCGTGCGCGTCTGTGGCCACTAACGGAGTACAGAGTGTTCGGGAAATAAGTACAAATAAATATATAAGAGATATATTGCGTTTATTAAAAATGTTCAAGTAGAAGAAAGGATAGAATGTCTCTATTCAAAAGCAAACAGTGGTGGAGAACCGAATGTGAAGTTAACGAAAAGTACGATAAACGGAGTCTGCTCATTGCACCGTTGTTTGGAGTCGATACAAAGGACATTATTATCGTCGGTAGTCATAGTGGATATCTGAGGCTATACTCACCATCGTCCCAATGGTCGGAAGAGACTAAAGAATCCTCGGGCTACAAATCCACGGACCTACTTCTTGAAACAAAATTGGCCGACTGTATAGTGGACCTAAAGGCGGGTAAATTTGCATCGTAAGTATAAAAGAGAGCTATTCCAGTTTTCGTAGCGATCTTGTCGAAATTCAATACCAAACAACATTGAACGTATCTTCAGTTATGAAGAACTATTTAGTTAAATCGTCGAACCTTTAAGAAAGTCAGAGCTACCACGCCCTTTTTTCAAAAAATTTTAAATGACATAAAATCTGAATGGCTGCATATATTTCATTGAAAATCGCAACATATCTACTTTACTTGCGTGCCAAATTTTAGTCCGATCGTTCTAACGGTTATTGAGTAAGAGGAAATTGAATTTTCGAAGCACTGCACACACACATACACACATACACACACACACACACACACGCACACACATTGTACATACATACGGACATTTTTTCTAAACTACTTTTCTTGACGTTTTAGACCATGTTAAGTATTCTAATATGAAAATCTCGAGAAAAAAAATGTTCATGAAAACATAGCTTCCTCTATGAGGAAGCAAAATGCAAAGAATGAATTTCGAAATGAGTTAATAGTATTCAGAGCTTCTTTACAAATCGATGAAATTTATTAAATCATCGAAGCAGCTCTCTTTGGGTCATAGTTCTTTGCAAGTGATGCAAGTCTATAGAAAGAATCCTATGCCGCTGCCTATAGTGCTGCACCACGCGGACGCTGCTTAAAGGATGGACTAGTTAGTGAGCCTAGTGAAAGTCTGGTGCAATATAAATAAAAAGTTGTCCATAAAAATGAATACAGTAAAGGTGTTATTATGAACTTGAGAAACCTTTACTCGAAAATATTTTTGATAAATCTTGATGAGACAGAAGTTATGATTTCATTTTCATTGATATGTTCATGAATACCCCCATATAATCGATGGTTATTCCGAATGGATGATAGGATTCGTTTCAAGTTGAACTACCTGGTCGAAAGCAATGTTGTTAGTAAAGAATCCCATGGCAACGGATCGTATGCGTGCGCGTCTGTGGCCACTAACGGAGTACAGAGTGTTCGGGAAATAAGTACAAATAAATATATAAGAGATATATTGCGTTTATTAAAAATGTTCAAGTAGAAGAAAGGATAGAATGTCTCTATTCAAAAGCAAACAGTGGTGGAGAACCGAATGTGAAGTTAACGAAAAGTACGATAAACGGAGTCTGCTCATTGCACCGTTGTTTGGAGTCGATACAAAGGACATTATTATCGTCGGTAGTCATAGTGGATATCTGAGGCTATACTCACCATCGTCCCAATGGTCGGAAGAGACTAAAGAATCCTCGGGCTACAAATCCACGGACCTACTTCTTGAAACAAAATTGGCCGACTGTATAGTGGACCTAAAGGCGGGTAAATTTGCATCGTAAGTATAAAAGAGAGCTATTCCAGTTTTCGGCCTCTTTCAAGAAACAAAGAAAGAAGGTTCCATAAATGAAAATAAAAGACCGTTCCTTTACGAACGGCCAATACCTGAAGCGGTAGGTAAGCGGATAGAAATGATGTGCCGATTTATGACGTCCTTAATTACGCTTGGCGCCAGTAATTATATAGGCATATCTTTTACTTTCGTACCCCGTCGGTATTCCTATTGTCGAGTTACTCAACGAACGAAGTAATTTCAATAGGTGAATGGAGGACACTTCAAGGTTCAAGAGAATTCATTACGGCAAAGTCGTACGTTTCCACGAAATTTCGCTTTCGCAGTAAGGCGGAGTCTAGACGGCGCGGCGTACCTATTAGCATTTTCTTTAAAGAACGCTTCATCGTGGTACTATCTTAGTTAAATTCAAAGCTACGGAGAATTGATAGTTTCCTTTTCACTTTCAGGGGTTCTCAGGACATGCGTCTGGGTGTTCTTACATCCACTAAATTAATCGTATACAGTGCCACCCAGATTCAGGGATCTACTGAGCACGGTTTGTCAAGTCTTTATGAAATACTAGTACTATAATCTACTTTGAACGCGAAATTCTTCGGAATTAAAGGACTTCTTTAGAAGAATTTACTGAATTTAAAACTAATCCCATGGTTTGACCATGCTAATGATTCTTAAGAATGGTAGTAGCTATCATCTGTTTTTATATGTACACTGAGTACTTAATGAAGTCGTAGACTTTATTAATTAATTCTTGTGCAAGTTGAAGCACTTTAAATCACCAATCCCATGAATTGCAACTGACTTCAATACAAAATACTGTCACGGAGATTTCGAGATCCTTTGAGCCAGTAAGATAATAAGAATATTTCGTTGACTAAATTATAAAACCTGGGAATATTTCTTACAGGCGATCGATGCATGTTAAATGTGGCATATGAACATGTTTTAACACGTTTCCCAATATCGCTGACGGTGGGTCCTTTTGGGGGTGTCCGTTCACGCGACTTTCTTTGCGTGCAATGCGTTGATGGAACCTTACTGTTTTATGAGCAGGAAAACTTTACCTTCATTCAAACCCTTAACAAACGTTTACTACCAAGTTCACTTATCTACATTTCACGAAACGATGTTTTCGTCACGATGAGCTCCGACTGGATTCTTGAATGCTACAAGTAACATATCGTTTTCATATGAGAGAACTTGCTAAATCGTTATTTCTCCCTGATGTGAGTTACCCGTACCACCAATTATTGCTTCTCTGTAGGTATCAAAATATTGCGGACTCTAGTAGGAGCGAAGATCACCAAAATGCTATTAAAAAAATGACTAAGAATATCGAGGCGGATTGGTCCTACAATTTGGGCGAAGGTGTCTTGGATATGGACGTTGTTACACTGAGCAGTTTCGAGGTTGGAATTGTTATTCTAGGAGAGAAAAACGTCTATTGCCTTCGTGACAACTGTGCAGTTAAATACGCCAAAAGACTGGAATATGAGGCGATTTGTTTCCATCCTTATGTAATTGGTATGAAACAGAAGAAAATACAGAGAATAAATGTTATATCCGTCATAAATATCGGAATTCGAATTTTAGAACCAGATGGAAAGCTAATGGTCTTAATAGCGACAAATACGGGCGTTCTCATGATATATGAAGACAGCAGTCTCAAATGGTCAGCCAGATTACCTTTCGTTCCTGTTGCTTTGGTCAAAGCAAATTTTCAGGTAAGTCGTCTTTAGCACCAGCGATATAGAATATTTAGATCTACGAATATTCTTGGCTCATCGGTGCTACTAAATGATGTTCCTACAAAATTAAGCCGATGACCTTTGACAAAGAAATCGAGACCTTCTGGCTATCGGTGTTCCTGTTCCGCGTCGTGCGCTATCTCCACTGCTGCCACCAACATTGATGCCACTGCCGTAGCAATCGTGCTTTATTTTACACTGGATGGGTGAATCTATGAAGAAAAATGTCCATCGTAATTAAACTGGTATATGAAAAGCATATATCGCGAACATTCGACATATGCGGAAACATATAAAAGCATGTCTCACTATACGGTCTTTGAAGTTTATCCTGCTAATGGAATGCGGATATTATGATCCATAAATAAAAACGGTTTTGTGATATTACTCGATAAAAGAAACCCAAACATAGAATAGATTTCATGAAAAGATATTTCTCGTGATTTACTGCAAAACTGTATTAGGTTGAGTATTAATTTGATACACGACAAATAATTATGCTTTACACGTTTTTCCATAGCATCTACAGGGCGCGATTGTGATGCTTTCCGATGATGGTCGTTTAGAAGCCTTCTACTTGGGAACACAGCCGTCATTGTTCGTGGCACCGCCACTTCATCGTCGTAAATTTGACCATGCGGAAGGAGAGAGAGAACTTGCACTGTTACGTAAACGTCTTAGAAGATCGGCAAGTTTCGGTAGGTCGAATTTGAAATCAGTATAACTATAGTTTATAAAAGCACTCTCGAGAAGGAATTAAGTATTTCTTGTTTTTCGCTCTAGGTAATTTTCTAGATAATGCGAGAACAGAAAGCGAGCTGAGTATTACGGTACGTGCCTCTCCGCATCCGGATATCTGTAACTATGAAGCCAACGAAATGTCCGATCAGATCAAAGGATGTGTCGCGTGTAAAGTCACATTGGAGCTTTCTTCATATTCACCACTTCAAGATGTACAAATTTATCTTAATGTTTCACAGCCGTTAACTTTTAACCAGGATAAGTATGCCATTCCAAATCTATGTAAGTATCCAAGTGATTGTTCCATGATTACATGGAAGGATATGTCGTTTGAGTACGCTTCATTATCATAGAATTATCGTAATAGGTGATCGACAAGTCCTGCAGACAATGATTTATACCAATGGGAGGATATCATCGATGTCATCGGAAGCCCAAATTACAGCCACCTACGGAACACGATTTGGGAGTCAGCGTATTGTACGAAAAACGATTCAGCTACCTCTTAGGCTGTTCTTAAATCCCACCATTCCTGAGAATACAGGCTCTTTCAGCACAATTGTAAAATCCTCTGAAGTTTTAGTAAATTTCGGTCAGCTCTTTCCTGGTAAGACGTGTGACGTGAGAAAACCAAAATTTCTTAACCGTGAAATAAATATTCGTTAGTTAACAGTGTATTTTGTATACTGACTGGAGGTTGATTGATACTGCAATCAAAGTCACTTTAGTCATTATTTTATTCGCCACTTTCATTTCTTTGAGAATTTTATAGTCTCACCACTTACACTTTACAGAATTCGTTGGTGAATATTCCCTTAGGCAAAATAACAGTGCTCTTGGGCTGCAGCATATACTGAGCGGTTCTGTCGTGACAATACTTTATGGTGCTACCTCAAATCGTTACCGAATATTATCGAGCGTTGCTCTCGCTAGTACATTGGTAATTGAGCAGTTGCTATTGAGATTATGCACGTTCTCATCCTCGCAAACTTTCAAAGCTTCAATCAGCCAGGACCACTTTCAATTGGTGTACTCGCAGATCGATGCCCACTTTTCCAGCAGGCAGAGGGTCAAAAGAATTACAGTGGGTTGAATATTGATGTCTTGATTGACAATTTATTTAAGATCTCGCAAACAGATCAAGACGATTTACAAGTGATGTATTACAACTAATTAGTTATAGACGTTTTTCTTGATGCACAGGACGAGATAGTGTTATTGACGACCCAGATGAGAAATATTGAGAGGCGGATGCTTTGGAACTTCAGAGAGAGGAATTTACTTCATCTAGAGACGCTGACTACCCTTCTTGATTTTACTTATAGTTCCATCTTTAGTCTCCTCGATGAACTTATTGCAGCTAATGCGGTAATTATCTACTTCTGAAGGGAAGGTCTATAAAGTACATAATACGTCAATGAATAAGAAATTTTCATAAGTAACCAACGTGCTAATCAAAAGAAGCAAAAGATATTTTAAAGTAGCCTGAAGTGTATTGAGTTTATCGAAACTAATAAGATTCAAAGGTTCAGATGTAGAAAATATTTTTATGCCTAATTCCAGGAACGAGATCAAACGACGTATGACCTGCAGTGCGCTATTAGATTGCTATTCTTACTTGTACGGTTTAACGCAAGTGACGATAAGTATATTCTACTACGTTCGGCAATTGGATTTGAGACGCAGTTGCGCAATGACGTGGTACGCAAAGATTCTAATAGTGATATACGTGTAGCCGACAAGTTCTTAAGCATTTTAAATTTGTTTGAGAGGATATTTCTCGAACAATGCAAAATTATGTAGCTGATATAATATCAATTTTTTCATTATCTATATATGTCACTTATTTTTTCATTTTTATTACCATGTAGGGTTGGGAGGAATTGGCCGATCTGGGATTGACGACTTTGTTAAAAACTATATCCAGAAAGTCGGATATCGATTCTAACCGAGCAATCTCATGGTTTAGGTTTGAAACTGTCAAGGATCTTTCAAAACTCAAGAGACGTATCGTACATGCAGTAGAAAAATTAAATAAGGACTCAAATGTGATTGACATTGAATCCTGTAAGTTTTTCGGAATTAAATTAAAATTATAGTTTTATTAAATTAATAACATAACATAATAAAAGTTATGTAAGTTTGACGCGAGTTGAATATAAAGAATTACAAAACACGGAATAAAAGTTTAATGAAAAGAGGCTTTTTAACACAGACGAAGAAAAATTATTAAGGGGTCTTCGAATCTCTCATTACCATACGAGTAAAATGTAAACGAAAATTGTAAATAACAGGTTTGTGATAAAGATTCTTTTCCAAAGCGAACATTTTGCAAGAGTTTCAATGATTTTGATATAATTTTCACAATAAATAACTCTAAACTGAACAAATAATCTGACTAGAAAATTTCGATGTGAATTTGAAAAATCCGAAAACTTTCGGATCGGATTACTTTTTCAGTTTTGAGTTAATTATTGCGAAAATGATGTCAAAATGATTGTTAACTTTGCAAAATGTGCTCTGAACTTTGTTTTGGGGAAGAATTTAAGTAAAAATTCTGTTATTTACGATTCTTGTTGACATTTTACTCATATGATAAAGAAAAGTTCCGAAATCTTTACACATTCCAAAAATATTGGTGGTTACTAAAGAAGGTCATGATCTAACGGTTATAAACAAATAGATTATTTCCTTGGGAATTGAAGAATATTGAAGCATGAGTATGCACTTGTATGACATCAAATATCAATATTTACACATATTTATGTATTAAAATTAGATCTGAATAACTTTAATATTAACAACATTTTTACGTTCTACGATGAACTTTTAAGCATATAAATAGCAATTATAATACAATGAAATGAACCAAATATAAAAATATCTGGCTTATTGTTCACAGAAGATGCTTTCGTGGGCGATAACACTGGGACGTGTTATAGCGTTCTGCAAGCAATAGCTCTTATGGAATTGACACACTGTATTGGACCTGAGTAAGCGGAGTGGCGAGCATTTTCCGAAGCATGTTCCGCAATCCACTATACCATGTTTTATTTATCATCCCTGCAATAACGAACACAAATGTTGCGCTGATTTCAGGGATCTTATTATGCGGTCACTTATTTAGTTTTTTTTTATATACCATTTTCTGGAACATTTACCTCTGTTCGGCAGTTGTGATTAACAGGTGCGAAACTTAATTTCAAAAATGTGACTTGAAGAAAGCGGAACATAGGCAGTGTTAAATACTCTTTCCTTTCGAGAACTGTACGAGAGAACTTGAAGATTTATAACTATTATATATTTTAATGTTGTCATGTTCCCTTTTGTTTCTGCGTGTATGTATACCTCTTCTCCCTTTGTAACCAATGAGAAATTTCATGCTTGGCATAAACTTAATTCCATGTGACATGCCAAGCAATTGCAGCTAGTGAAACTACCGTAATTGATTAGTTAACCGACTAATTATGGAACGAAAGTGATAAGGGCTTATTCCAGGAATCGGACCATAGCCACAGGGCTACAGCATGCCAGCAACGAAAGGAAAACAGATAAATTTTAATGGGACCGGAAAGGAAGCAAAGGGCGATTACATACGGTTTGAGTATTCATTGTATTATCATATAATTAGTTCTTGTCAAAGATTCATGATCGTTCTATTGTAATATTCCATCACAGAGGCGGGAACTACTAGGCGCAAGATTATGCACCTAATATGTCATTTGATGTAGAATTCGAATACTCTTGGGCATACCACCTCACTTACGGAAAGAATCTTTTGACTCGCAATAATTACCATTAAGATTCAATAGTAATTACTAATTGTCAAAAATATTTATTATTAGAAAATAATGGGGAGGTTATCATTGGAAACACAGTGCAGTCTCGCGTAAGTTGATCGCTCGTTATCGAGAATCTTCATGTAAGTTGAACCTCCCCGCTATCCCCACTGTTTCGCAGATTCGTGTTGATTTGCGGCAGCATTGTCAGTGAGCATGCGCTAAGTCCAGCGCTCATTAAAAGAATAGAACATGATAGGGGAAACCTCTCAGGGAGGAAGTCAACTTATGTGAGTGAGTCAACCCTTATGGTTAAAAACTATTCCATTCGCAATAGTTACTATTAAGATAAAATAGTAACTATTCATTGTCAATAGTGCAAACTAATAGAAAACAGTAGCAACTGTTGGGGAGATTATCATTCAGAATAGTTACTATCGAAGTGCAATAGTAGTTAATAATGGAGTGCAACTATTCGGGACATTTTTATTGACTAGTATATTTTTATTAACTAGTATTAGCATATTATAGATAGTATTCAGATAGCTATTATGCGACGCAGTTATTATTAAACTTTAATAATGATTACTGTTAGAAAGGAAATAAAGTATTTGGGTGTAGTTGTCATTTGAGTCAAACTATTTTGCCCCTTTAAAACACTCATTTGGTTCATGTTTTGGTTTACTGGCAGCTGTAACTCCAGTTTGAGTCTATGAGAACCTATGGCAAAACTTGGAGGTTCAATACTGAGTTTAACAAGAGAATAGTCAGTTTTCAAGTTCTGAAAAAGTTTATGAAGTAGACGGCAAGACTGGATTATATCTATTTTGACCATGGATAGAAGAAACAAATATCTTCTATTACATAAGAAGACGCAGCTAAAATGGATCCGAGAACATTCGTCGATCATTGAAATTCAGCAACAAGGAATATATGCAACACTTGTCACTTTTACACCCATTTGAAGACGATGAACTAAGGTCGAGAAGAATAAAGTACTGACAAAATATGTCTAGTAATATTGAAAGTGGGGCTTTATATTTTTGTACTTGTAATTAATGGCTTTCGGCAAGAAAGTGAAGTACCGAGTTTTTCCTTCCCTCGTGATTTTTTGACCTGTCCCTTGAATTCTCGAGAAACAAGTGGCATCTAATGTCGGAGATGTCCACTTTTAGTGGTAGACCTTTTGGAATGGCGAGGGACAGATCTGAGACAGATCTAGGACCGACAAGGGATTACGAGTGACCGCCTTCTCCGGAGTTTGAACGTCATTCTTTTACCTGGGCTTGAAGTTCGAATTATGAAATTCAGGACCCTTTGCCTTGTAATTTACGATGTTGGCGTACAATAGGTAAAATTAAATAAAATTAAAAAGCTGCTTTCAAATACAGGTTTAACAATAAAAAAGTAAATACAGTTGCATTATGTACACTCGCGCACCTCCTAGACCGAGGTAAATGGTTCTACGACATTGCCTTCGTTCGTTTCGAGATTATCCAACATGCCACAGACATCCTTAGGATATTTAATGGATATTATGTTCTGCATGGGCAGTAGGACGTCTACGAACGATTCTTTAGTGATTTTCGACCCAATGCTCAGCATTCGGCGCAAAGTACCCGTTTAAAAATAGGTACTTACTTAACAAGCACCCTGTATATTTTTGTACCGATAGACGTATATGTTTAGTCAATTACTCAAACCGCATTCACCGAAAAGCCTGGTGCGACTACCACACCACAAGCACTTTATATACAATTTTGAAATACGTTACACACTTATTTTCGAAAGCTAAACAAATTTTATCGGTTTGCACAGAATCGAGCTTACCCAGAAGCAGCCTCTCCTTCATTGCTTACGTCAGGAATGGGATACAAATACTAGATACTGGCGAATTCTTCTTCGCTTGGCCTCCACCAGCCACCCACGATCATCTCATCCTCATCATTCTCCTAAGCAAACCCAGCCGACATCCGAGATCTAAGCCTCTCGATTCTCTCTATCAACTGGCAAATCATTATTTTTTTAATACACAGCCACTCTTTATAATTTTATCATTGCTAATTATCCATATAGATACAACTATTTCATTACGATAATCTCAATAGTGTTCTCAGAAGCGAAGAACGGCATGTAAAAGTAAAAGTGTAGACGACGACGAATATCCAATGTGTATATATATTTGCAACACGTGTACTAATGAAGCATCAGGAATATCTGTAGTAAAATTCTGTATAAGCAACAGCACCAGTAACATCGAGGCATCCTTTTGCAAAGGTAATACCTATGAGAGGACTATAGTTATGGGATAATGCATACTTCTAATATCAAATTAGATAAACAATTACAAAACTAAGATAAAAGAAAAGGAATATAGATAATGTGAAAGAAGAAAAAAGAGGAAGTAAAGTGAATTGAATTTATGACGTGCAAAAACCTTCTGCTTAACGTTGATACATATTCATTTCGTAAATTCGAATAAGTCGATGTCATTTTCGAATTGCGCTCGCTTATTTCAGATGGCAGTGTGATTAAGCGACGATGTAACTAACTTTCTCATGGCATTCCATACGGACTGCACAACATACCAAATTTGATAATTACATGAAGAACAATAAATTTGTATAGAACGATGTGCTATGAAAGCATATCGATGAGTTTTCTAAATCAGAATATTGTCATGACAATTAGGGTTAAAATTCATTGGTCCATTATGTGCAAAACCAAATTGCGATTTAGTTTAAGCTACAAAAGGGCACAACAGTGGCACGTGCGAAAATTCGATAGCCTACCACCTTTCTCACATACAATAATGCAGAAACCAAACGTATCACGCGCTCTCCGTAGCTTATCAATTTCTATATATGTCAGTATACGACTACACTAGAAGCCGTGTTGCGTGTGATGAATGACGGACGAGTCTCTCTTTACGATTTAGAGGTTTGGACGTGCTCATAAAATTCCTCTCCGTCGTTCCCGTGAAAGAGAGTCTTGACGCGCGTGGAATTCTCGCGACCTTGCGCCCATTACCGTCAATGAATTCGTATAACGAATTTGAGCTAACTCTAGCGCGTCCGCGCAAGCAATAAGTGACGAAGAGAGGAGACAGTTCCAAGGAGAAAAAAGAGAGAGGAACCGTGGGAGGGTAAGAGCGCGAAAGGAAGACAGAGAACTATTACAATCCTTTTCATCTTTTTAGGCCTATCAGTTGGTTTGGCATAAGTATAAAGTTATAACTATAAACAAAACTCCGCTTTCACACTTGAGTTTTTTCCTTTCCACCGTGATTACGTTTCTTTAGATCGCATCAATAAATTTAAATGGAGCGAGTTTTCGAATACTCAATACCCGGTGCGGCCTTGCCTTGGTAGTTCTATCCTTTCCACGAAATTCTAGCAACAGGACTTTTGTTTGCGAAGGGAGAACAAAATTCTAGTACCAAAGAGGATGATATAGATACGTATGAGATTTTCGGAAAGAAATAAGATAGAAGAAGAAAAAGAAAAAGAAGGAATAAGATATAGTAGAAGATCAGAACGAATGCGAAACAAAGACCGCGGAAGACTGCAAAGGAGCATCAAGTGAAAGAAGAAATAATTGAGATCGGTAAACAGAGTTCAAAATCGATATGAAATGGCCGGTTCCCAGCGATGGTGCATGTTTCACTGCACCACGATCGTATAAGTAGTTGATCGTGTAAGTAATGTTCATCGAGAGAAGCAAGTGCTCGTCCGAAGAGAACCGAGAAAGCAGACATTCCAAATGCGGTTCGTCCAGTTCAGAGAACAGACGGACAAACGGACAGACAGACAGACACTCTAGTCCGCGTGTGGAGCGGGAGTGTTCTCGGTCCTCTATGCGCGATAGCGAACTCGCCACGGCATATTGCTACGTAACGTATATATACACACTGGTACACGTATATAAATATATGTATAGATACAATATATACATAAGAGGACACTGGTATTTACCACTGTCTCGCTTTATCGTTCAGGCACATACTGTCTTCTAGATGGTGCACATATATACGCAACTTCCTCGCTCTTTCCTCTCCCTCTTCTTGGTACTTACGGACTCGAGATAAACGGACTTCTCGATTTATTCCCGCCACTACCGCCACCAGCTAACCAACCTCTGCCTCACGCTCTCTTGTTTCCTCATTTTCTTATTCTTTCTCCGAGTTTCTCACTCTCTGACACTCCCCACTATTTCTTTCTACTCTCTTTGTCTACTCTCTTGTTCTCGCCTACTCTCTCTCTCTCTCTCTCTCTCTCTCTCTCTCTCTCTCACTCTCTCTCTCCCCGCTCCCGCCCCCTCTCTCTCTCTCTCTCTCTATCTCTCCGTGTGTGTCTCTCTCGCTCTCTTTCTCACTCTCTTCCCCCCATATTTTTCTCTCACTCTCTTTTTGTCTCTCTGTTGGCTCACCACAGTCTATCCAGTATAGAACACCACAAACCCTCTCTCCTCTTTAACCGGAGCTCCTTCTCCTCCACCTCCTCATTCTACTCATCCACCTCCTTCCTCCTCGTATTCTTCGCATAGTAGTCTCAACGAAACTCAGTACAGCCGCGGCGAGCAGCTGACGCGGTAAACGTGTAGTTGACGTGGAGAAAAGTGAGTGCCGCGCGCCTTCTACCAATATTCGAGAGGAGAATTCTTTTCTACAGTAGTGTAGACTACAAGGAATAGTCTGAGACTGGTCCTACGCGCATACGTTTTCACACTCTCCTTCCTAAAACATCTATTCGCATAATTTCGTTGATTCCCTCACTAATCTTTTACTTCCTTTCTTTATGCTGCTTTTCCACAGACATCTGTCTATTCGCTTGATAGTCTATTTATCAAGTCACGTATTCAACAGCAAGTCAACTTGTAGTGTCATAGCTTTCTCCGTTATTCGTTATAATATTGTATTCTCTGTTCTGCATGTACTGGTACGAGCGTGTGCATGTGTGAAGTGCAGAACGAACCTCGTTCTCAGAGTGGCAAGTGTAAGTGTGGATGTAAGGTGAGCGCGTATACGCAACCAGAGGATTCGCCGCTGAAGGAGCCATAGTCGAATGCATGACCGTAGTGACCGCGCAAAGAAGCGCGCACGGGTAAGTGCGCAGACAATTCTTGGAAATGAGACATTCACAAAATATCGCGTTGGAAATGACTTAAGAAAAATTGAAAGAAATAATAAAGAACGTTACAGGGACCGAAAGTGTAAGCAAAGATGTTGAAGACAATGAATTTCAGAGTACGCCGATCTAGATGTCACTACTAGACATGAGATTGTTTACTTGAACGTGATGCGTGTCTTTCTCAAATTTTATACTTTCCCACTTTAATGTGTCGCTTCTGTGTACGTATTACTAAAGCTGATACTCTCTTCTGATTTTGACACGGAACTCGTTTACGAGAGGAAAGAAACTAAAATGTGCGATAGAATTTTCCTATCAATTAAGAAAGATTATTATAGGGACACTATTTTATGAATATTTTGGCATATCTTCTTATATTATATTTGTTTGATTTTATAAAATATATGTATTCTTACATTCAATAATAATTCGAATAAATCCACTTTCGCCATTCAGGATCCTTCATAGTTAATATTTATCATATAGGAAGAAAAAATTGAAAAGTTTTCGGGGTATAATATTTGAAACGCAATGGCGAAGGACGTGTTCTTTTACATTTTTGATTTTCTTCCATTTAACCATTTTGGCCATTCAACAAATATATGAATCTTGATCATTCTCAAACCTTTCAACTGCAAGTTTGATTTATGAGGGTAGTGACAGCTGCGGTGATTTTGAAGAACACGTGCGTCAGTCCAACTCCACGAACTTTTACCAACGTATGTTGCTATTTTATGCTCTGTTGTAAATTTCATCCATGTAGGCGAAGCGATCTACGTCTTCATAGTGTCTTTAACTGCGAAATTACATCAAAATTTTCATTTTGTTTACTCGGTAGTACATAACTACGTGCGCGGCTACTATAAGTGCATATTGGATTACGTAGGATCCTGTGCATACATATGTCATATATATCGAAATAATATAGCGACACCTTCGAAATTTTGCGGCCTTCGACGCCTTTCGTGGTATACTTAACATAGATGAGTAGATAGAGATTGGTAGAGATATATGGGGCGAGGAGAGTATGAAAGAGGACAGATACTAGATGAGAGAGAAAGAGTGAGAGAGTGAGAAAGGGAAGAAGGAGAAGAAATTAATCAATGGGAAGATTCAAAACTTGCTGAAAACAAACGATGTTTATCTGTCTTTGGTAGTAAATACTTCTTTTGCTTCCTGTTGCTTCTATCGATGATGGCACTGATGATCGCGGCAGCTACTTCATCGATGATACTAATTGCAAATGCCATTCGTTCTTAGTTGGACAAGAGTAGTTGTACATTATCGAAGCGCTGTTCCATGTAGAATCATTCCGATTTTTCCGTATATTTCGACAAAGGTACGCAGTAATAACTGCGTCAATTTCGCCGGTGCGTGTTATATTTCTTTTTAAATTCACTTCAGACGATGGCGCACACTGACAGCTCTTATCCGTTAACTTGAACGGCCTTTCTTAACGATGACCTCGTACTAGACACCGCACCCACCGATAACAATTAATTCAATGTAATACTCGGAAAAGATTCTTCATTTCGAAGATTTTTTTACTGTTTATTTATTGCATTGGCGTCAATACTAGCGTCATCACATTGTTGATATATCCGTCGCCAAAAAATATACATCTTTCGGTTTAATGTAATGGAAACTCTAATTTCATAGAGTCGGTTGAGGAAACGTTTAATGTAGAAGAAAGAGAAATAACTTTTCATACGTAAGAATGGACGTGCCGCGTCCACCTTGCGGGTCTATCGTTATGTCGATGACATAACACCAGCGCTATTGGAGTTCTTACTGTGCTTCAACCTCCCTATACACATTTGCAAATTAGAATCTCTTATTTTTCGTATCGCATGTGGGTGCTTAATTGCCTAGAGAACAAGAGAAGGAATAATATGAAGTGACGTTAATTGTAGTACAAAAGAGATTCTTCAAAACTGTTTTTGATTCCTTGAAATTCAACATCCAAAATACGTTGAAACAGTTTTTCTGGCCTCTTCACTATATAACTCTACTATCGCACGCACACGTTACTGATGGACACGAGTACGCGTGAGAAGGTTGTTCGAAGCAGCTACCGAGTAGTACGACTCGTTTGCGCGAACACGTTTGCGGTTTCCTAGTGGTTCGCAGATGTGTTCGTAAAATATACTTGCGCAACCGTTTCCGAGAATGCGGCTGTACGCACGCAGGATAGTTGAGGTACTGCTTTTCCATATTATCGTTATTATGCTAGTATAAAATGTATTGATATTATGATAGTTTCATCATTATTTATTATTATTATGCATCATTACTGTTACTGTCAGTGCCATGATAGTATATACTGCGACAGACATTATCCTAGTTCATATATTATACCTGTACAGCTGTGAAACGTGAATCAAACGAATGTCTGTGATATCGCTCGATAGCGTTTAGTAATTTTCTTCCTGATGACCCATCCGTCCATCAGTCTCATTCACTAGTTGATTAACCAGCAAGCTGGATGGTTGTCTCGTTCTTCCGTAGTCAGTCTACGTCCTTTCGCAATTACATCGCGCGAGCTATGTTTACCTACAAACGCTCGTGTAAATACGCCGCGTGGCTTAACAGCGATATGCTCTCGCGCGAAACGGGTCGGCACCAACAGCACGGCATGGGTAGCAACCTGCTTACGCTTTCCTTCTTCCTTCTTTATTTACCTGGTTCCTATAATGCTATTTTGAAAAGAATCAAGCGAAGATCTGTCAGAGTTTTCGATGGCTCCAAGGGTATACCGTTCGACGATATTTTACAGTGAGCCAAGGAGAAAGAAGTAACAGATTGCAAAGTCGTCTATCATCGCAATGGAGTTTATGTGGCTGTCCAGGAATCCTATGAAGAGAGTTGTTCTCACCGTAGCTTTGATCATCCTCGGTGGCACGGGACGCGTCGATGGTGTCTCCGAAAGTATCATTGGTAAGCAAGAATGCAGCGTAGATAACATGGAAAGCACGTGCTGACAGCTACCAAGCAAAGCAAATCTATTGCGGCTATGTTTTTAGTATCTCCATCTATATTATTATCAATTTGAGACATAACGGTTAAGGCTGCTATACGATTCACGGAATTTTGTTTCGGGAAAACACTCGTATCGCACTTCCGCTTTATTCAGGAGTTCGCATTATTATACCCATTCGAACAACATTAGCATGTTTTTCATTTGCGCTTAATTTAACTTCTTGAATCGTACTTATATCGCGAACCTGCCTACCGCTGCAGATAAGTATGTTTGCACATAAGGCCTATCTTTCCATGAGAACCTTACACTATCTCGCTTTAATTCAGTTTTCTTATATCGCATTTTAGATAATGATCAATTAGGGTGGTCATTGTGAATATTAAACCCTGTGCACAAACAATCTTCTCATATTTAGGTTTTTTGAAGAGAAAACGAAACAGTGTCAGGATCATTTTATAACTCGCTTAAAAAACTAAATATAATGCCGCATTGATAATTGAATAAAAGTTGAGGTTTTCTCAATTTTGACGTTTAACATAAATAAATCATAATTAATTTCAAAACTTTTGGAGATAAGAGTATCTAAATCGCATTCGCAGGAAGCCGTGAGACGTGTGACAGCGAAGGAGAAGATTTCACAGTGGACAAAATACCAAACACAAGATGTTTTAACTGCATATGCAAGGTAAGTCGGTGTTGATGACGTATGTACCGTATGTGACGATGACGTATGACGTATGTACTCTAAATTATCAAAAGCGTTAGACAGTTACTTCTGGAGCGAGATAACAGCAGTATTCGAAATATAGTTGAGTTTCTACATCAGCCTCTGATATTGGCCAATGCAAAAGAGCAAATGTAGCGCATTTAACATCGTTATGTCTAGCTAATAGTATATACAAATCGTGATTTGGAAGAAATTTTTAATAGAAAGAAATATCTGTTTCCATAACTAGACAGTACGTTGTAGAGTCTACATTATTGCTTAACGTTTAGTTTCAGGAATCAGTTTTGTTCACTATTACCAACATCAGTTGGGAAGATTGTATTTGCAATGTAGAGTGGTGAATAAATCGGAATGCTATACGATTAAAATCATATACATATAGATGCATGCATACTTAGAAAGACATTTTCTTTCTTATGCGAAAGAATCATTGTTTATGATTCTCGAGCTATCATTCGTTGGTTCATTGACTCATCATATTCTGTCATATCGAAGCAAAGTTTACTGCTGTTTTCATCCTGCCTACTAACTAAATGTAATTATCGCCAGACTACGTCTATAACTAGGCACATAATCGCAGCCTTGAGAATTTCTGAAAGTACTTTCTGATGCTTTTTTTTCCAGAATGGCTTCGTTGAGTGCCTGAAACAACAGTGTCCGAGTATAGAGGGTTGCTACACACTATTGGAACTGAGAAACGACGAATGTTGCCACAGGTGCAAAGGTACTAAAGTCACGATTCCACTTCGCAACAATACTAAAAAGTCAACGTTCTTTGCCAGCTGTGTGTATATTAGTATAAATCTGAGATGAAACAGTTGGTTAAAGTGAAATGAGAAAAGCATGTACGTATTGGTCCCTGCCATAAAAAGTATTTGTCTTTGAAATTTTTATTGTTGTCAAAAGTGTCCGCCCACAGAATATTAAATAGATAATGGGATTAACTGTAAAGAACAGATGTTAAAATCTTTTCAAGCTATTATCGTTACTATTAATTGTAAAGTAAAGATTCATATAATTAGACATGAACGTCTCCAATAATGTGGCATTTTTATTAGATTCAGTTTTATGTATGGAACAGCATTCACCTTTACTAATAAATTGTTGTTTTGAAAATCCTTAACGCTTTTGTAGTTCCATCAAAAGATTGCAGTATATATATAGATAGGCTTCAAGATTTACAATTTATGTTTTAAGCATGGCAATACAAGCCACAGTCGGAAGAAAGAAGATTGCGTTTTTTTTTAATGCAAGAAAAACTTTGTTCATTCTAGGATGTGTGCGTAATGGGGTGCATCATCCCTCGGGTACTGAATGGACCGAGGTGAACGATCCATGCCGAATTCTCACGTGCAAAGCCGGTGTGATCACGGAATCGAAACTTCGATGCTATACGCCTTGCTCTAATCCAATTCCAGCAGCACCAGGACACTGTTGTCCAATTTGTTTGGGTAGGAAGTCCTTTATCTTATATTCATGCTCAGTTTCCCGACGCTCGAGCGCTAATGAGATGAAAAATCTTTTAAGGATGCTACGTCAACGGACAAAAGGTCACAGCCGAAAGAACTGTCACGACTACGGAAGATCCTTGTGTGACTTGTAGATGCAATATGGGACGTCTAACCTGCGCTAAACAGGCCTGTCCTGTTCTACATTGTCCTGCATCAAGAATTGTACACGATTCTGGAGAATGTTGTCCCCACTGTACAGGTAGATTATGTTATATTAAAACTTAACATAATGGAGCAGAATTCCAGTTTAAAACATAACATTTATTTCAATTATTCAGGTAGCGGACGATTTTTCTCGCCTCCTAAAGGAGCCTGTATGCTTGGAACGACTCTTTATGATTCTGGAACACAATTCTACGTAGATGAGTGTACTCGCTGTAGTTGCACAAATTCAGCTATTTCTTGTACCAAGGAAACCTGTCCTGTCTTAGAATGCAATAGCGAACATCAAAGTACGCTTCCAGGACGTTGTTGTCCACAATGTCCTCTGGTTGAACAAAGTCGAGCTTCCTGCACTTATGGTGGCAGAACTTACGGGGCGAGTATCATAATTTCCCTGAGAATACCTTCACTGTTAATAATATTACCACGAAGGTCTTATGAAAATAGCCCGAATGGAGAATTAATTTTTTTGTTTAAACGTCCTAATTTCTCCTAGGCAGGATGGCGAATCTTGGAAGCTTGACCCTTGCAAAGCATGCGCCTGCATGCAAGGTAAAGTGCGCTGTGCGATGCCCATGTGTCCGCCATTGAACACACCCTGCCCACCGAATTCTCGCCTGCAGCACCCTGAGGGTCAGTGCTGTCCTCGTTGTGTCGAAAGTAAGTTCTAAAATGATCGTTTATTTGCTAATTATGAATTGTGATTTTATCTTTACACTTGAAATAAAGTATAGTGTAAGTGGTAGTATTTACATTCTATATATGTTAAGGTGATGGTGTCTGCACAGTATTTGGGGATCCACACTATCGCACCTTCGATGGGAAATTTTTTAGTTTCAAAGGTCCATGCAAGTATCAATTGGCCAGTGACTGCGTGGGACACACCTTTAGCATTCGTGTTACGAATGACGCAAGATCAACCAAAGCATCTGCTTGGACGAAGACTATTGCTTTGAAGGTTAACATTAAATGTGCTCATTAGTTTGTTCATTAACACATTAAAGGCGGGAGTCGTAGTACTACGATTTATCTCGACTGTAGCTTAAAGCCGAGAGTCGTATTAGTACGGTTTGCAACCACATTGCGCAATCCATGCGCCACTTTACATTTGTATTTAGTATGTTTTGTGGTTTTTAAGTCTAAATTTTTTTATGATTACACAAAATATCGCCCGCTCTAGGACGAAAAACGAGGCGGGGCGGTCGCCGCGTTACCTAGGATACTTTCGTCAAGATCCCCCGCCTTTAATGTGTTAATAAGGAAGTTATTCGTACGACTAATATTATCAAAAGAATTTATTTGATCAGGTAGGAGAATTGAAAGTAAACTTGGGCCAAAAGATGCGAGTTAAAGTAAATGGAAAGAAAGTAGAAATACCGTACAGGGTGCCACATAGATTAGATATCAACCGAACAGTGGACAGTGTTCTCGTAAGTACCCAGATCGGAATAAAAATACTCTGGGACGGTATAAGCTTCCTGGAGGTGTCTGCACCCACCTCGTATAGAGGGCGACTCTGCGGTCTTTGTGGGAACTTTAACTCTCTCCCAAAGGACGATTTTACTACGCGACGAGGTCGACTCTTGCAGGATTCCCAGCGATTTGGACAGTCTTGGGCGGTCGGTGGCAAAAAGCGTTGCGCTCGAACCCGGCTGCCGAATGTAGACGTTTCGGGTAGACGCTGTCGAGGCCGTAAAGATCACAGGTACTTTCTTCAGAATTTTAATAATGCTCATATTGACATTTAAACAATCGAATGTAATTGCAGACTTTGTAATCGATTGAGAACCCACATCTTCGATCCTTGCCATAAGAAAGTTAATCCTACAATGTACTACAAGGCTTGCTTGCAAGATATGTGCGAATGCCCAACAAAAAATTGCTATTGCGAGTCCTTCATGGCATATGCTCACGAATGTAAACGGCTTGGAATAGAATTGCCGCATTGGCGTAAATCAACGCGATGTCGTACCGTCTGGGACGTGACGGACGATACCGGATTTCGTCGACGACTTCGCTAGCTGATTCTTGTTCGCCGCGGCATCAAGCACTCTCAGGCATCTGGAGCGCAGCAGACTCTTGACTCGCGCCGTGGCGAACTCTCGTCCAGTGGACACACGTGTATGCAAAATGCCTATTTGGCCTCTTCGTACCTAGTGATGTACGTAGCCGCGTTCATGAAAGCACAACGGAACGGAACGGAGTGCTTCATGAAAAGTTTACTAGTCACCACTTCATGTCAATACGCATAACCGGTGAGTTCGAACGCACGTACCTATACCAATTAGACTTTATATTATTTCAACAATTACATTTATATTGCAGTGAAGTAAATCTTTTACATTTTATAATTGTTCTCTCGCTTGATTACATTCCTGTGCCTATATTGTTATTTCTCAGACACGTAAGACAATCCGCAAGATAACGTGCAGATCTTATACATACTTCAACGAGGAACTTACTGTTTTACCTTTACTTTCGTATTTATTTATTTATTTTTTTAAAAATATTTTTGCCCTTGTCGAACTTCTTTGCCAGTACTATATCTTGCAATCTTGTCTGTTTGACAAGAAAAATTACAATGTTTATCCTTATAAAGATCGAAGCGTAAAATAAGATAAGAGTGCTTTCGCGAGGAATCGATTACAATATCTCCTTGACAACTTGACGAATACTCACGTGACGCAAAGATTTACGATAGATCGGGATAACGAAAAATTTACTGGTGTTTTTAAAAAATGTTTCAGAGCACCGTGCAGTATTTCGGCCGATGAGCAGGCTCGCGGCATTGCATCTACATCCCAGTGTTAACTCGACAGTGCGTTTATGATAGTTAGATTTAAGTTAGGTTTCTCAAAACCATATCTACCATATCTTTCTCTCCCCATATCTGCCTTATCTGTCTCTCTAACTATATATAATTTTATCATATTACTGATATAGTAGCGCAAAGCATTACGATCTACTCTGGAACACGTAAAATTCCGCAATATGGCACAAAATAATGTAAATATTATCGAATTTAGGATGTTATTATACTATGAATTAGACAACTTGTAAGACGTACCCTTTTTTCAGAATGTGACTTTAATCAAATTTTCAAATACGGGAACGTACAGTCTATTCACGACAATAATGTTTCTTCAACGACCAAGATCTTATACGTTTTAATGTAAATGTTTTTTGTATTTCACATTTGTGTCGTGGATCGGCTATATTTTGGTAGTTCTTTTCTTCTGTACATACGAAGCTCCGTGTTTTCCATTACTTCTTACGATTCATCATTTATTTTTTAATTCTTTTTAGTAATTAATTAACAGAACTGTACATATATGGGGCACACTCTAATATCCTATACTTCGATAAAATGTATGGAAGGTTAGTGTCGAATAGCCCAAAGTCATATAGAAGTTTATTCCTTTTTCTTCTCTTTTTTTTCTATTGTTCAGCCGTAAGGGCAATAAAATGATTTATATTCGTATGCTGGCATACCATCTTCATCTATCCTAATTACAATCATAATTTTATCGCTTTACGTTATTATTACTTGATATGTAGTCTCTTTGGTTCATTACAACATATTCTCCATTTAGTGGTATACTAATGAAAGCATTGTATAAAACTTCTTGATATGATCGAGATAACGTAACGATTCAATTCTTAACAAAGGATTAACGTCAGTCAGCGAAAGAGACAGCGAAGTGCTTCTCTTTAACAATCTATCTGCGAATGCTATTGCTTCAGTCGTGTCCCGCCGTGCCATAGGATCACGATACGAAGTTCGTCTCTCATCTTAATCCATCATGACGGATTTTTCAATTTTATTTCCACTTCTTTTCTTTGGTCTTCTTCAACATGTAAACGCTTTTCCAAGTGAAGCAGCCATCGCCAAAACTTTGCAAGGTACTCTAAAACCATAATAGACTTCAAAAAACACAAAATGGAACAAGTGTCCGGATGCTATAAGTTCAAATAATAGAACTAATACGATAGAATAATAGAAATTCTATCGAGTATTTTGATTATCAGTTGTAATGAACTTTTGTGTAGCTGATGAATATACTTATATTTATTTAAAACTGGTTACCATTCATTTATCTTTCGAAAAGTTAATTGCTAATAGTAATGCTTTTTACGAATTGATGTATAAACTATCTGTCCGCTACCTGGTGCATCCGAAGGTTTATTAATTGATAATCGATCGTAATTGTTACTGCCACAATATAATTCTTGCATGTTAATCAGGAATATAAGGAATTGTCAAAAAATTTGAAACATTTATATACCCATGTCGCTGCCATCGTATTGTTAATCAATTACGTATAATCTGATCGATTATGAATTTATTGTTATTTTTCTATAAAAAAATCTGTAGACCACCGTCTCAATCAATAGTATATTAAATTACAAAGATTTTTTCCACAGAAAAGTTATGACTTTTGTTTTAGATGACATAGCCGATATGCGAATGCATAAAATTGCCAAACCATCTATTGCAACACGAGCATCTTCATTCAATAATCTGGCGGATGAGACAGGTGAGAAAATGTAAATATTAAATATCATGTTTATTTGTGTAGTAGAGTAAATATCTAAATTAATCTGCTGTTGAATCTCTAATTATATCGTGCTGGTAGACATCACGTGTTTCTCCGACACAAAGAACACAATTACGAAACAGGATATAACATATAATATAACATGACATTAACATATAAGACGCAAGTCGGCTATTGAATCCAACTCAGAACAAATTATTCCATTTATATGTATATCTGTCCTTGTGCGTTGTAATTCCGTTAGTGAAGAATATTACTTTAAGAATTGCTTGACTTGGTATTATTTTGTGATACCGTCAGTAGTGTCAGTGAAACTTTATAACAGTCTCGGGGACTGGTTATTTGAATGACAAGTGATAGTTATTACATGTAACAATTAGAGACAAAGGAAGGCTACAGATAAGTAAACTCCAAGGAAGTATTGCATAACTTCTTTTGCACAATTGGTCAAGCATAACATAATAAATTCTCGTAACGTTTAAGTAAAGTCCTCTCAAATTATATAGGGAGAAAATGAGCGTGCAGAAAAATAACTGGTTGACATATTAAAGTTTCTTCATAAGGCATTACATTGATAGTATTGGAATCATTCTCAATATCTATAAATATTTCAAAACTAAATTACAAGATGTTTTTTGTATTAGATTAGGTCGTTGCAAAGTTTATGAGTCCGTGTTTAATAATTTGTTAAGATATATTGATTCCTCATTATCGTATCACTTATCAATATTTCTATCGACCGCCGTACGATTAATATCTCAGAAGGCCTCTTAAGGTCTGATACTTTACTTTGTGAGATCATTAAGTTAACCCTGACGAAAACATCTCTGATATAAAAGAAAAGAGCGCTAGACATAGTGATTAGAATTATTTACTTTACTGAAAATTTGTGTAGTACAATTCTAATATTGTATGAAAGAAATACATAATTGTAATCGTGATTATCCAATGAACATGTTCTACTATGACAGTAGAACATGGAAGTTACATATAACGTATCCTTTGTTATATGCAGGAAGTGCAACTGTTATACGTTATTTTGCAGTATAGTTATACATATAACAAAACTAACGTTTACATAGCATATTTATAACACTGTTTATATAACATTACTAATATGCAGGTATTGTTAACGTTATAAAGTGTAATCTCATTACGGTAACAAAATCAGCGTTTGTAACATGCTTATAACGATGTTGTATAACATTGGTGACAGGCAGTTACTCTATTTACGCTGTCACCAGTCGGATTCAAACTTGTAATCGTAGGAGTTTTCGAAGTGAGGAATGTGACTCTATCCGCTAGCCAACAGTTCAATTTGTGAATATTGTCCCGGATAAGAATTCTAATCGTCAATCTTTTTTTTATATATAATTATAGGAATAATATGTTTTGTAAAATTTCTTCAAAAATATAATCCAATTTAAAAGCTTTATTCGAGTTGCAACGATGAAACATATCGGAATTGAAAATCATGGCGTGATAAACTAATTGACAATGCATTTTGACTGTTTTATTTTCACACATTTGGTCCATCTAGCTTAAAATAAATCGATTGAAACCGATTTCAAATAGCCGGAAAGAATCAGATTTGTACATCGGAATTTTCTTATCAAATCTTATAGATATATATTATTGAGAATGAATCAGATTCGCATTAATTTTGATAAAAAATGTATTGTTTGATAATATGATTTGAGCAAAATCTATGCAGATTTTTGGATTTTATGACTTTTTGAATTAAAAAAAGGGCGTCGTCGTTTTAACTTCCGCAAAATTTTTGTTATATAGATAAATAGTTTCTCATACGTGCGGGTACGTTCAATGTTGTTTGGTATTGAATTTGGCCGAAATCGGCAATGGTGTTCGAATGTTACGTGTTTTTGAATTTTTTTAAAAAATCCAGTTTTTTCATTATTTTTCAATTTTCAGAAAGCTTCCTCTCCGTGGAAGCCATAATTGATCAACATACTTTCTCATAGAGGTAGCTTTGTGAAAAGTGAAAAGTAATGAAGAAGAAACGTGCAAAGTTCTACTTTGCATTCTTTTTTTTTTCATTATTGTTTTCCTGATCAATCTTATTTCTCGTTCTCATTCTCCTTCAGTATTTTACTATCATGTTTTGTTTCTTATTCTTTCGACTTTCTTGTTCCTTTTATACAGGGTGTCCCACAACACTCGTTGAAGCGCGAAGGGGGTGAAAGTGGAGGAAATAACGAATCGAAAATTCCTTTTCCATTTTTTTGATTCGACGCCTAATAATCGAGCTATTAACGATTTCGATGAACCAATCAAATATACGCTTTGACGAGACGCCTGGCCATGAGTAGTTCAAAGAGCGCCCGCCCCACTGCTGCTTCGTCCGTGAGCTTGGCTGCTGTGTGCGCGCGCACCAGCACTGCCGGTTGTACAGCTATAATACCTTCGGTGAAATCAAACTATGGCGGAATACATTTTTTGGCCACATTTAATTAGTTATTACGCACAATTACTTACTAAACTGGAAGAAATTTCAAATCGAAATTTCCTTTTCCATGTTATTCTCCGATGGTTATTTACCATATTTCAAATAAATGAAATCGTAAATTTAAAAATAAATTAAGCCATTCACTAAGCCAATAGTGTAACGTTTTTCGGTTGTGCAATTTCGTCGGCTCCTTAGGAGGGTGCGAACTGGGAAGTAGATAAGTGCTCGGGGCTGGCGATTTTGAGAACTTAGGCGACACAGGATTATTTAATAACATAAAATAACAAACGTTTATTAAATTATCGATAAAAGGTGCAACAGTCTTTATAATGTGTAAATAATAATCGTTACGAGTAATGTTTGCATTGTAGGAAATGATTGTCAGAAGTGCGTCTTATATTTGTTGTTGTCTATTCTTATATTGCTCTAACCTACCTTTGTGGAGCAGAGGATACGCCCATCTTAGCAAGGTAGCCCTAGTGGCACCATGCCAGACTATTGCCCATGGCACTATGTTTTGTGACGTCATGCTTCGATTTACGGTCATGAGGCAACTCTGGCTACCGATTCAGATAACGTTCTCACTTCCTGGTTCAATTCGAGTCGCCACCCTGCTCAGAAGCTACGCTCTCGGGTCGGTTTGTATAGTTACGCCAATGCTCTCGGAGGATTTGATATTGTTTAGTTGAGCTCGAGGTGAACGAATCAACCGTGGAGAGATAGTCTCGACGTACCGAGTTGCCTGGCAGAGGAGAGTTACCAGACAGAGATAATAACAAGAATATGGTGGGGTTATGGATAGGCACGGGTGAAGATGGGGCCAGGACCCGCGGTTGATACCAGTTCTACGCTCAGGATAAGTCAAAAAATAACAAAAAGAGAAGACAATATCAGCAGATTACATTAGGTACAAGAAATGTCTTATTTCCTCCCGATTGCCTCGGCTAGATGTGGTCGAGACAAAATGAATAAAAAAAATGCAGCAAAACCAACGATTTACTCTTTTCTTTTCATTGGTGTGACCTTGAATTCCAGATTTCTCAGAAATGAAACATTTTTATATGTTAGCACTTTGAGAAGTGGTCGATGACAGATTCGCTCTTAATATGTGGCTCACTGTTGTAGCCTCTGCCAATATATCTGTTATAAACGATTCCCATTATCGTATCAATTGGATGTGCAGCCTTATCGTTATGACTTCTTCTTGTAAATTCACCAACTGCCTCTTGATCAACTATTCGAAGATGTAGATGATCTATTCTGTTATAATAGGTGAAACTGCATTATCACCCCTCGACATGCCGAACTTTGGGGGTTGATTTTACCCTCTAAAACCATTTTTCCACTGATAAAAAAAATATGTGTCTCTCTCACGTGCGAGCGCGTGAATGAGACGCTCCTATACGCGCTAGAGGGACTCGGAGAGCCACCACTAGCAACGAGTGAGAGGGTCTTATAGGAAACCGACGCTAGGAGTGAGAGAGACGCTCTTATACGGGTCTCCTCCGACTCGTGAGATAAATGGTGTCCCGAGCGAGGGGAAAAGGCTTAGTGCTCTACGCTCCGGCTTGGCTTGTTTCTAGGATGCTGGCCGCCCCCATTCTCACTTCGCCACTGTTCCCCTATCTTCTCTCTGAGACGCTGTTAATGCCGTTTAGTGTACAAGCATAAAAGGCAAAATGGCGATGTATAGAGTTCAGGGAATCACCGAACGACGTGCACTCATAATCCTCGATCGAGGATAGGCGACTTCAAAACATAGTATGTTTTTCTCTTTTACAGAGCTGTTAAAAAAATTAGGACATTCTCATAACCCGTAACAATGCCCATCAATATCTAATTAATTAGAGTTCGTATGTAACATGTACAGAACTTTTATTTTAATAGATGGGGAGAAACTGTCGGCGTATACTATGGACTGTACATAGACATAGGAAAAATGGTCGGCTGAAAGAAAAAGATAGCGAAAAATTCGAGAACTAACCTACGTTACCTTCGGCCGTCCAACCTTCGTTCATGTATCTGCAAGCCAGGCGGGCGCCAGCCAATTCTTTTCTTCACTGGGAACTGACGAGCTGGTATGATCTGTGAGTTGGGGTGGGACAGGCCCAACTCCGCCAAAACGAGAGCTCTGAGAGAACCTATCAGAAAATGCGATAACGTAACGGATCCTGTCGATTTTTGGAGGACGCGTAAAATGGAGAAACGCAACCGTAGATGCTGATCTTTGGGGGCGTGTAAAATCAGCAAATGCAACTGGATGCACGAACGGGAGCGGACAGTTACGGAAATGCACGGCCGCTCAGTCAGGCTGCTAGTTTGAGGTCGAGAGGATCGGAGTAAGCGTCAGGCAAATAGTGCTGGATACCGAGAGCAACGGATTGAGAACGTAACAGAATAATTTGGAAGTATCAAATCGAAATCCCTTCACCAATTAATAAAGTGGGAGTCCTTATCGGAGTTGGTGCAGCTAATTCGTGAAGGCCGAGAACTGTATCCAGAGGACGCTTGGACGGGCACTGCACTAGGGAACAGCATTGCACCTCCGTAATACACTCAAAAAATCCATAACATTTTTTGGACATCGTGAGAGCAACGCGAGAGCTACACAAGCGAGAATTTCCTATACCGTAGCGAAACACAGCTAGAAAAACTGCCAACAGATAGCAGGGAAGCGCGAGCTAGCTTGTGACACCTCGGTCGGTTTCCCGAGACAGACTGCTTTGATAATAGTCAAATTCGAAAACTAATCATTCTGATTGGTCGAGATCCTTATAGCCGATAACTCTTCCTTTCCCTCGAGTCGCCCCTTTAAACCAAATCGAGAGCGTTCGTTAGCGATTCGGTACGTAATAACTGGAGATCTTCCACAGCCGCTTCCCCAGGGCGTCGGGTGACAGCTGGGCACCCCGTCCTTAACTCGAGTGAGGGGGCTCCTCCCCTGCCCTTAACCATATCAAAACCTTATCTCTGCACGCTTTATAGCCCTTTGCCTCTCTCTAGCGGTGCGTTGGTATTTCACCAGGGGTTCTGCCGGTAAATGTAATGATGCATGTTACCCGATGAAAAAGGGAAAATTATATGTATAATTAAATAATTATAAGCATAAAGAATCTGTACTGTTTGCTATTTATGCAGACATTGAGTGGATTTTAGAGCCGTTTACGGGCACATTCAACTTTTCAAACACGACGATTTTTCACAAAACAGATTTTACACAGCATATCATTTTATTTATAATGTAAAAGTAATGACTTTATCTCAAATTTTTTTATTTATTGTGGAAATGATTCCGTGTAACTGTTTATGAGTAAATTAAAGGAATTAGCCCACTTTATAGAACTTTGCCTGAAACATATCGTATCAATGGCGTCTTTAAATTTTAAACATAGCAATGAATGTTACTCGGCAAAGATTTTTCACATTTGCGAAAAACCATTTATACTTCAGGATGCCCAGCATCGTGGTCATTGCCATTTCACAGGCTAGTCTTGTGGTGTACACATGAGGCGTGTAATTTGAACTACAAGAACTCACATAACGTTCCTATTGTGTTTCATAACTTACCAGATTCTGATTCACACTTCTTGATCAGAGCTTTGACTATATCTTTCGAGGGCACAGTGGACATGGTATGTACCAGTAAATAATGAGCGGTATACGTCTTTCATGAAGAGCGTGAAAGATACGATTGTAAAGTTTCAATTTATTGATTCGTTTAGGTTTAGGTTGAGTAGCATTTAAGAATTAGCATCCTATTTAAAAGATTCAAAGAAATAATTATACGTAAGTATTGTAATTGGGAGAACATCTAAATTGTATTGTTGAATATCCTTACCGTATAGCGGAATGTATCTATTGGTGTTCACTGCCATGTTTATAATTTCAAGTAATGACCAGTCTGATGACTTCCCTTGGAAGTCGACTATTTTAGTTTGCAATTTTTCCGTCACATTATTATTTTATTTTCAAGTTTCCATGTTTTTTGTAACGTATTTTGCACTTCGTCGCGATAAATTTCCTTGAATCTTCCAAGAAATGCTTCAAGGCCTTGTGCTGTAAGTTGGTTATTACTCCAGTTCTCATTTTACCCTTGAATGCTAATTCCAAGTATTCCCTATGTATATTGTCACTCCTTCTCTCTTTTGCTGTTCATTGACTTTTCTTTTGATGTTATTGTTCAAATTTCATTGCAAAATTTCTGAAATCGGTGATTCCTATGACGTCAATCCTTGAAATTATGGGGGAGGATCCACGACATTGATTTAACATGTACGCGAACTTTTGGAGGCTGTCAAATGTCGATAAATGTCCGTTACAGGAATCCTGTTCTAGAATTCTCTAATTTGTACTACTTCATGATCTTGACATACCTGAGCAGATCTGCATCGGGTAACGTGGTAGTTTCACTTAAAGTTTTTTTTTACTTTAAATGAATGCAATGAAATGAATGTGTTTTTTATAGGGTTGAGTACAGTCCTTTAACAAATGCGATGATTTCCATCGTCTTCTTGTACCGTTGACTTTCCTCCAGCCGCTCTTTAACTGCGTTCGCATTATGCATCTTCAGCTTTACCTACAATACCACCAGCCAATGTTGTAGCGGCACTGAGACCTGCAAACACGGACAAGAAATAGCAGAAAACCTTCAACTTTGAATAGTACGGGTAGAACGTGCGATCTGCGCACGCTGCACTTTCTACTTGTTCGTTTCAAGGTAGCTTGTGTGCCCTTAAAAACGGATTGATAGCTACTCGTGCATAATTATAATATAACTTTATCAGCGTTATAACCTGGTCTGCTGCCTTTGTATGTTCTAGGTTTTTTTATTCTTCGAGTATGGGAAACGCCATTTCAACAGACGATATAATAACAGTATAATAGTGCCCTGTGTAGGATATGATAGGACTTTCAATAAGGAACGAGCTGGAGATTTCAGATAACAGAATAACTTTTAATAAGTTTACAAAAAATACAAAAGAGATCTTAACGTCAGACAGATAATCTCATATGTCAGCGGTCAAACGGCTACTCCCGATTGTTTCTTCTTCACCTATCGGTCGTATTGCTACTAAGGGCGGCTCGCTCGAGGGCCCGATGTGGCACATCACAAGGTTCCAGGTAAAAATGTAATAGGGCATTCCTCATATATAGTCGTCCCAGATGAGGGCGGAAGAGGGCTTCCAGAACTGTGGAGCTACTATTATTTTTTAGTCAGACATTGATCAAGAGCTATTGAGAATATTATAGTTACGGTCTATACATACCTTTTCTTAGGACAGCGTAATTAGGAAACCTTGCTCAAGAAGCCATATTTCCTCATTCAGGCTAGGATAATGTTAACTCTTATGGCCCTGATCAGGTTTCAATAAGATATCTATATTTGTATAGAGGGCGCACTAATCGTCCTACGTTCCTACCGTTATAGTATATGATGCACTAAATTATAGTCAGACTGCATCGTTAGATGGACTATGTATTTTTTGCGTGTGTCGATCATTAGTCGTGAAAGATGGATCGTGAAAAGGTAATGAATTAAAACGCAAGTTGAAATGCGAAAATATCAAAAACTATAAAGTATAATATGTGAAGCAGATAAATTGTAATTATAAATGTAAGGACTATGAAACTATTGGTTAAGTAAAAATATGCAATTTATGTTTGATAGACTGAAGATCCTATTAAGTCCGGCCATTTGTGCAATGACAAATCTCTTAAATCATTTCCTGTCGAACTTTGCTCAAGCAAATAAGGAAGTAAATAATTTAGTACAGTCAGAAAAAGTATCAATAGCGATGTAAGTGAGAGAAAATCTAAATTTTCATCTGCCAGTGAACATTTAACTAGACAAATTAGTAAGAGTGCAAGTTCCGAAAGTTATGTGGGAAATGAAGTAAGATTGTTGGCAATAAAATACAATATTTTCATGCCTACACGGAGAGAATTTTTAGTTAATTTTTCTTACGAAATTCACGATAAAATTTATCGAAAAAAAACCAGTAATCATGAGACATCGTTACCATTTCATTACTCATTGCTTATAACACACGATATTTTGAATGACTAAAAGTAAGTTTTGGAGTGCACACGGTAAATATTGTGCACACGGTATAACATAATCGGCTCAATGTACAATTTTCTGCTGTTTTACAAAACAAAAATTTGATTGACATAACCAAATACTGTTGAAGTTTTTTACACCATTGCAAAAGGTTGTAACGTATTTTCTTAACTGGACACTGGTAGCGAAAATACGAGAGGACTAACCAGCATCACCTTCGGCCATGCATCCGCATGCCAGGCGGCCGCTAGTCAATTTTTTTTCACTGGGTACTGACAAGCCGGTATGACCTGGGAATTGAGGTGGAAAAGTCTCAGCTCCGTCATACCGAGAGCTCTAACGGAACCTATCAGAAATAGGTATCCTGTCGATTTTTGGGGATGCGTAAAATCGAGAAACGCAACCGCAAGTGCTGGGGGCTTATTACGGTTCTCGAAGGAATGTACTCGCTTTTCGCATATTCATATCACGCGAATTTAGTCCCGAATTACGGTTTTATCAAGTGCAGATGTGAAATAACTAGGCACTTCCAGGCTGGTGATCGCATGTTTTCACAAAGGTTACTTGACGTTGCTGTCTTTTATAACAAAATTTCATTCCATAAATAATCTTTTATACATTTTTGAGAAATTAGAGCATATTTGTTATATCTGTATATTTTATTTTTTATTGCAAATGTACACTTTAGGAAAATATAAATAGTGGTATCTAACTATAAAATCTGCGTAATTCGTTTTCCATTATACTAAATGGGTTCGAGGCATCGCGCAGAGTTCGTCGAATTTTGAGTATTATACTTTATCGATTTCGCAAATACATTAAGATCACTATATTATTGATTGTGGAAAATATCATTTTTTCCGATAACTTGTTGATTTGCTATTCACTTTGATGTTGACTATTTTTCGGGCACATCACGCTTACATATGCGCACGATGGTTTTCGACTTGAAATTTCGTGTCGAGTCAACTCACGCGACCATTCTCGTCTTTTTACAAGTTGAAAACGATCATAATTTAGTCAGTTATTCACTGTCTTCATTTTCACCTAATCTAAAAATCGTAATAAGGCCCCTTGATCTTTAGGGTCGCGTGACATCAACGAACGCAACTGGATGCACAAACGAGAAGCGAACGGTTACGGTAATGCATGGTCGCTCAGGCTGCTAGGTTAAAGTAGAGAGGGCGAAGTAAGTGTAAATATTGCCGGAAACAAAATTACAGATACAATTTATTGGCAGATTATACGGTAAAAATCTTAGATATCTTTAGAAAAACATATCAAAAGTTATAACGTTTTTCGTAGTTTACTACAAAGCTATGGACAGTAGTGCATTTCACGGTACAATTGAATGTAGCGCACAAGATAATTTGGCTGTTTTAGATGATTTTTTAAATTCAATAAGGTAAAATGTATAGTTTTACACTACATAATTTCAATTTTTAAAATTTTTACCGTATACTTCAGTAAAAGCTGATGTGAAAACAGAGCCGATAAAGTTTGCCTAATATAATACTCATGTGAAATGTGTTAGAAATTGAATGAGACGCTAGTCTGCTTCTCGATGGATACCCGATTAAATATTAGAGAAATTTTATCGAACTATAAATTCTGCCCTATTTATATTGTTACCCGGGAACTTATTTTTAACACTGGCGCTACAATACGGCCAATTTGATTGGAATCCGTCTCGCATTAACTCCTAATGCTAGGGTTCAAAGATTAAAATTTATTTACAGTGCAGTACAAAACCTCATACATATGCGTACTGAGATCTATTAGGGTTTGCTCGGATTTATAGTGCACCATGGTCTCAGGTTATCGGTTTCCCATAATACGTAGTAAGGTTTTTAGGTGTTTTTAAATCCTTTTACGTCGCCCACAACGTACATACGGCTTCGACGTTTCTTAGCGATTACATATGGCCCTTTGAATTTAGGAATGATCTTTTTCAGACACCAGGCGTCGGGTCGAAGTTTCGTAACATGACAAATTCACCGACCTTGTAATCGTGAGCTTTATTCTTTTTCCTTGTGACGTATTTCTTTTTCTGGCGTATCCTATAAATATTTTAGTAAAAATCATCGTCCGCCCTCAAAATTTTGAAATTCAAAAACAAGAAAAGTTCAAATGTCGGGCATCAGGTGCGGCTTCCCCGCATCAATGTTCCGTCCTATGGCCACTTTCTCCAAATCTCACCGGCTATTCACCCTCAGCTCGCTGAAAATGACAGAGGGAAATATCAGGGCGACGAGAAAGAATTTCGAAGTCGTTGAATAGGTGTGCAAAATAATTATACATTAAGTAGGATGTCGTTCCGTTTATTACATTCAAATAAACGAAGGGTTCTACAATACAAATCCTGTCGCATACAGTGTTCTTCCTAACGGCGACTCGCAGTGCAATTCACGATCCTAACAGGTCTCGTTGGAGAAGAATCTCTTCCTTTCGGGGAGTTTCCCAGTTTCGGGTACCTCTTCTCGTGAGAACTTCTCTAAATAAGACTGTCCTTGCGGTTAGGTACTGAACCTGGTTGTCTTATAATTCCCTTAAAATCCAAAAGTGCGGTGATTTTAACTCTCCTGCCCCCTCCCATAGTGCCGCGTCCTGGCGTTAGGCACCCATTGGACACTGACAAGGATATCGTTTTCAGTGTTATTATTCATTGAAGAATAATACATCTCGATATGAACAAAATCGCAAGGGGATATTGAAAACGGTTTTCTTATCAGTGTTCCACACACTCGACCACACATTCGCACTGTACCCCATAATTCATAATTTTTGGAGCCGTCTCTTTCTACGAGAAATCTCTATAATCGCGTTCCGCAATTATTTTAAGGCTCCGCTATCACCCGAGCTCGGGAGGACATCTACACTCTCACGGTAATCGACAGACCACCCGCGGCCGATTAAAATTCATCTTCGAAAAGTTAGCCCCCCCACTTTGACTTTTGACTTTTTTTTTGTACCAATCGATTGGTGGTCATTTGGTGGTATTTAGCCAGTATTAAAGAAGAACCGGTTTTTTGGAGCCGATAAATTAAAAAATCGATATTTCGAAAATTCTTCATATCATATTGAAACAAAAAAAGACATGTCATTTTGTTTCCCCTCAAGAACAAGGGAAACAATTTTTAGGAAAATTAAAAATTTAATTTTAAATCTGACGTGGAATGACCCATTTGTTGTCACCATGCAGGGTTGAAATAGCGTTATCCAATCAAGTTAACTTATTCTGCTCAAATCTCAATCAAATCTTATTTCTAATTAGTTAACTCTATTTCAACCCTACACGGTAGAAACATATGCATAGTTGTATGTAAATACATATGGAGTTATATCTCATCCTATTAAATGCAGGTAAAGAAAGAGACCATGATATTCGTAAATATTGGGGGTACGTTCCGAAATTCACTGTCAGTACTACAAATATCGTCGTGGTGTCTATTTACCTATACGCAATAGAGTGAGACACTAACATGTTCGCAATACTGGCAGTGAATTTCGGAACGTACCTTGAAAGATGTCTCAATGGGATATTATCCGTAAACGTTTCTATTTTTTTCAGGTTTTAAATTTCAGGCAAGCTACCCAGCTCATATTTTTCTCAGGTTCTAACTTTCAGGCTAGCTACTTGGCCTGTCTCTTTTCGTTTGACTAGTGTATCCAAGTTCTACGGTCTGTTTCTGCAAGTGTTTTTACGTGCTCCAATTTACTATAGATGCATATATCCATTTATTGAATACGTCTGAATGAAATACAAAATGCTCTCAGGACTCTCGGCTTATTTTCGAACATATCTATAGTTTTCGTCATTCTGCTGGTGGACTGAACTATTTTTAATAATGCATGTGTTCGTCTCATTCATTTTTTCATCAAAGAAAGAATAAGGCCTCATGTACAATGGAACATAGTTTGTAGACATTTGTCATACGTCTGTATTAGAAGCCAATCAGAATTATTGTTTCTGAATTAAAAGCACTATACATGTCTATGGACAGCAAGCCATTCTAGCAGCATTGAGAGAACGTTTCGAAATTCACCACAAGCACTGCGAGCATGATTGTGTCTTATTCTTTACCCTAGTTAATACCAAATGTATTATGGATCATCTCTCTCATTTTATTTCCGTAAGATGCAGTCAAGCTAATTGATCTTAATACTTCCTATGTAAACATAGATACAAGTCAGCAGCTTTCAAGGTACGTTCCGAAATTCACTACCAGTATTGCGAACATGTTAGTGTCTCACTCTATTGCGTATAGGTAAAAAGGGACCACGACAATATTTGTAGTACTGACAGTGAATTTCGGAATGTACCCCCAATATTTACAAATATCATGGTGTCTTTCTTTACCTGTATTCAATAGGATAAGATATAACTCGATATGTACATACAACTATGCATATGTTTCTACCGTGTAGGGTTGAAATAGAGTTAACAAATTAGAAATGAGACTTGAGCAGAATAAGCTAATTTGATTGGTTAACTCTATTTCAACCCTGTATGGTGGAAACATATGCATTGATTACATTTAAACGACGGTCTTAATCCGGTTAGTTAATACTGGCCAAAAACCACCAAACGACCACCAGTCAATTAATAAAAAGAAACATGTCAAAAGTCGAAGTAGGAGGGGGGCTATCTTAATGCTAAAAAATTGTTATAAATTTTAAAAGTAAACCGAAAACCACCAAACGTTCTGAATGGACTATCAAATATCACCAAACGACCACCAATCGATTGGTAAAAACAAAAATGTCAAAAGTCAAAATGGGGGGCTAACTTGGCGGAGGTTTAAAGTTCCTGGGGTACGGATAGTGCGTCCCGGATACTGGGCACCTCTTCCGTGTTGGTTCTCAACCCAAGGGTACTGTGCCTCCGGTGCCGATTCACTATTTTTTCCCGATCTTGAAAGTATTTAATCTTTTCCGTGGCGCTCTCTTGAATTTCTTTCAAATTCTTGTACTTTCTAATAAGCAAGGTAATCCAGGTGTCCCTCTCCAATTTTGATGAAACTCAAGTATGTTGTAGAACACGCAAAACTAAGCGAAAAATACTTTTGTTGAAATGAAAGAAATTGGATCAAATGAATCCCTAAAGTCGGCTACTCCCAGTGCGATTTTTGCAGTTTCACATATTTACAGTTGCGATAT